TATTTTGGGAGGGGCGTTGCGGGAAAAATTCCGGTGCACTCGACGACGGAACCAAAACCACGGTGCACCCGGGGCGTATGTAGAAAAGGTACCGGTGCACCAAATTCACTCAAAGAACCCATGAATCGTTTCGTGTGATCTTTGAACCTACAAGTATGTGATCCAAGTATCACATAATCTTGGTCAAACCAATCTTGTGCGGAGCAGCTTCATAGGACAACACAACAATCCAACTTCGGGGGCTTCGTTGAGGATCTGAAAGTTGGCCAGGAGATCCGTTTATATCTTGGCTGGGCACTCAGTGCATACAACTCTCGGCTGAACAGGCCCATTCCGTTCATTTTCCATGGTTGAAAAGAGTTTCTACTGCGGAGCCGCTGCTTTGTGTTTCTCCAATTGGGCATGAGGCTGTTCCACCGGAATCCATCCCTTGCTTGTGTCCGATTGTCGTAGTTCGTCTAACATAGAGAGTATGGCAAGGAGGCAGCAGGATGATGCAGGTAGATTCCAATCTTACTGCCATATCTTTGCCGAACTCTCTCTTTGCCAAGCTCTCAACGTACTCACAAATGAAGCGTCGCAAGCCAATCATTGAGATGCTATAGATAACATAGTTGATTAAATAGTTAAGTTTGATTCCAAAATGAAACTAATGCAACCCAAGATGTGGAGAGTGCAGACGCCATGTTCACAAGTCAATCGTGAACCAAAGGATTGATATGTGCGACCCGGTTATCGGTTGGATGGTTCTTCAACTGTAAAATAGGCAACTTGTAAATATTCCAAATCTCATCTAACAGGATTAGTAGTCTTCCCATTCAATGTGATTTGAACAATGTACTTACATCAGAATAACAAGCTCGATACCGTTCTTGTCTTGCTTGTTGCTGTATTGAACTATCATTTGACCGTATTGGTAGAATAGGCAAGTCAGAAATATTCTGAATCTCAATTTTAGCAGCGCAGATGCAAAAAGATAAATCCCACTCCGCTCCTGCTTTGAAACAATGTTGATTGTTGCATTCATCGATATCTTTCATGTCTTGTTTGCTGCGGTAGTGAATGCAAACAATGATTTGACCATAGAATAGGCATTTATGCTGTACAGTAGCAAGATCAATCACACTCCGCTCCATCAGCTTTGAAACAATGTGGATTGTTGCATTCTTCTTGCCGAATTCATAACGTTGTTGCTGATTTGTTGGCTCGAGTCGCTTGTTCTTCAAAGACTATCGTATCAAGCAGGTCACGACAAGCAGGTAACGACGAAGTTATTGATACCTTCTTGTCTTCTTTGCTGCACTATTGAATGCAAACGATTTGACCGACCATTGAAAAGGCAAAACATTCCGAATCTAGTTTCAGCAGTGCAGTAGCAAGATAGTCCCACTCTGCTTTCGCTTTCTAGTGGATTGTTGGATTGCTTCATTATAATTAATCGGCACCTACTCAGATCGAGAGCGCTAATGCAGATTTGTTGGAACTCATCGCTTCTTCATTGATGCCCCTGATGTATACGCTTTGGTTATTCCAAGCGGATACCTGCCGTCATCGTAGGGGTAGTATGAAAAATACGCCGATTTTCAAATATGCATCACCTATTTTATGGAATACCTGCCATCCAAGTTCAAGTACGTTTTGCGAAGCACACGTCTCCTTTCATTATCTCATTTCCTTTCAATCATATGAACCACCTTCTTTCATGGACGAGCCACCCATCAACCATCTCGTCACTCCATCGGAAATGATGGAGTCCGGCCTTGCCCTGAAGGGCTACAGCGAGAGGCGAATCAATCGTCTTTCCCTCATCCCCGTCATAGTAGAAACGAAAGATTTTTCTTTGATTGTCGTCTTTATCCTCTTCTTCCAGAACGACCATGCTGCGATGTTTGCTTCCTTGATTTGGCTGTTCGGCATTGATGAATTTCGTCAGGATCTCAGCGATGGCTCCTTTCCCGGGCCGGAGCTTTTTTTTCCTTGCCATATTTCAAAGGTATGCAGGAGGTTTGCGGTTACGATGAAGTGGTTCGATGCCATGATTTCGAGTGGCGTACCAATTTGCATCTTACCTTACCAGTGATGTTTCATTTATTCCTTTGGATTGTTTCGTTGATACGACCTTTGAATCGTTTCGAGATCGTTTGAATCGTTTCGTTGATTCCTTTGAATCCTTTCGAGATCATTCATTTGAATCGTTTCGATTCCTTTGAATCGTTTCAAAGTCCTTTGAATCGTTTCGTTTCGCATTTGAATCGTTTCGATTCCTTTGAATCGTTTCGAAATCCTTTGAATCGTTTCGCGTGTTGTGATGAATCGTTTCGATCCATTTGAATCGTTTCGAAATGTCTTTTTATTTTATGGTTTGACCCCTGCTGTCGGGGATGCAACGCGCGCATGTGCATTGTCTATCCGCTCAAAAAACGGTCGATTGACAGACGAGTTGCGGAGGGTCCTGTTCTATGGGCCGTTTCACTCTTCCAAATCTGGTCGCGTGTGCTGTGGCTCGTCCAATAATAACGGACTGCTGGAACGTGTTTTTGGCGAGAGAGCCTGCCTCCCACAAATCAGAACCTTGACAGCACAAATCAGAACCTTGACAGCACAAATCAGAACCTTGACAGCACAAATCAGAACCTTGACAGCACAGAGCATGAGCTGACGCATTCGGCATTCGTACTCGGGATTGGGTCCGGAGACTGACAACCCCGGATTTTGACCAAAAAGTGCCACGATTAGAAATGAAAATCACAGTGACCATAGCTTCCATCTTATTGCGTAGTTCGTACGATCGATGGAAAGCAGTTGAAGGACTTTAAGAGCAAGATGGAACAGATGATGGCGCGCTCGTGGATGAAGTCAAATCATCTGACTCCGATTGAAGTAATGCACCGCTCCGAATACATAGATTGATGATGCTCCTGTCCTATGCGATGGTGATTGTGCGTGGTGCAGTCACTTCAGTTTAGAACTCGAAAGGACCTCCTCCTCTATATGGTGCTGGTTACGAGAACGATGCAAAGAACTCGAAAGGACCTCCTCTATATGGTGCTAGTTACGAGGACGATGCAAAGATTCCCGGCAGGCATTGGTATGTCTACTTTGATCCATTCATTGAGGACAGAATTGTGATGTACGTTGCGACGCGGATTCCTCCGCCATGTCCGTCAAATGCAGAGCTCCAACGAGCCCTTTTCTATGATTACAAGTATGGTACGACTTGGACCAAGGGAGCA